ATTTATTTATTATTATTATACTTTAAGTTGTAGGGTACATGTGCATAACGTGCAGGTTTGTTACATATGTATACTTGTGCCATGTTGGTGTGCTGCACCCATCAACTCGTCAGCACCATCAACTCGTCATTTACATCAGGTATAACTCCCAATGCAATCCCTCCCCCTCCCCCCTCCCCCCTCCCCATGATAGGCCCCGGTGTGTGATGTTCCCCTTCCCGAGTCCAAGTGATCTCACTGTTCAGTTCCCACCTATGAGTGAGAAGATGCGGTGTTTGGTTTTCTGTTCTTGTGATAGTTTGCTAAGAATGATGGTTTCCAGCTGCATCTATGTCCCTACAAAGGATGCAAACTCATCCTTTTTTATGGCTGCATAGTATTCCATGGTGTATATGTGCCACATTTTCTTAATCCAGTCTGTCACTGATGGACATTTGGGTTGATTCCAAGTCTTTGCTATTGTGAAGAGTGCCGCAATAAACATACGTGTGCATGTGTCTTTATAGCAGCATGATTTATAATCCTTTGGGTATATACCCAGTAATGGGATGGCTGGGTCATATGGTACATCTAGTTCTAGATCCTTGAGGAATCGCCATACTGTTCTCCATAATGGTTGAACTAGTTTACAATCCCACCAACAGTGTAAAAGTGTTCCTATTTCTCCACATCCTCTCCAGCACCTGTTGTTTCCTGACTTTTTAATGATCGCCATTCTAACTGGTGTGAGATGGTATCTCATTGTGGTTTTGATTACTCCATTTTTTTAAGAATGAGAAATCTTCTTTTTCACTCTGTATAGCAGACTCCCCTCATGTAGATACTTATGCAGAGCAGCTCTGTTATTGTTAATATTCCTGGCCAAATGCCTGAATTGCAGCAAAGCTAATGTTTAACTTGCCAGGCCTGAAAGACAGGCAGTGTAGTAGAATACAGTCAAAAACGAGCTGGCCTATAAACATGAAAAATAGTGCTTGCCCTCATTAGTAATCACCAAAATGCGTATTAAAACCACACAAAGGTGGCATTTCACACCGAGGACGGTGAGGTAAGGAACCTAGTGGGAGGGTTAGACATTGATGAAACGAGCACAAAATCAAAGACAGAATTTCAGCTGTGATGGTCTAGAAAGGAGAAGGACATTGTGCCCTGAAAGAGAACAACAGAGGGTCTGACCTGGCCTGGGGGCTGGGAAGCTTTCGCTGAGGAAGTGTAGGTCTTGGGGCAGCTGAGGCATGAGTAAGAGTTTAACAGGCTGATACAAAGACAGAAAAGGTTTCAAAGGGAGCAGCAGGTGACAAAGTCCAGTGATGGAGAATATGGAAGGCGTGTGGAGCCCAGGGAAAGACAGTGCTGGGCGGTGAGGTGTCTAAGCCAGGCAGCTCTTGGTGGGGAGGAACCTTCCAGACACCGCGCAAGGAGTGACTTTCAGGGCAGATGCAGCCCTTGTTGTCCCCAAACCTGCCCTCTAGGGGGAAGACAGGCCACAAACCAAGTACACAGCAACAACGTAAGATGTTTGCTAATGTGATCCCGTCTATGAAGTGGTGGGGAAGAGGTCCCAAGAAGGATTCTCAGGGAAGGGCAACAGGACATGCAGAAGGCTTGTGTTCAAGAAAGTGAATTCAGGAAAGCCTTGGGTTAGAGTGTGAATTCGGGAGAGCTCTGGGTCAGAGGCATGAATTCGGGAGAGCCCTGGGCTAGAGATGTGAATTCTGGAGAGCTCTGGGCCAGAGGTTTGAATTCAGGAGAGCCCTGGGTAAGAGGTATGAATTTGGGAGAGCCCTGGATGAGAAATGTAAATTCGGAAGAGCCTTGGGTGAGGTGTGAATTTGGAATATTCCCCGGGTCAGAGGTGTGAATTTGGGACTGGACAGTGTTTGTTTCCTAGGCTGCTGTAACATAGCACCACTGCTTTTCAGCCTCTCCCTGCTCTGAGTTCTTGGCTGCTGCACTCTGTGTTTCCCCCTTGTCCACTCCCCTCGCCCCCTGTCCTCCTTGGCTACTACTATTATGATCTGACACAGTTCTTCCAGGCTGGCCAAGTGGCCTCTTCTACTCTCACCACCTGCTCTCTCCAGGTAATGTCACCCAGGCTCGTAGCCACATTACATTTTAAGGTTAGAGTAGAGCAGTAGTAGTCACATATACAAGGACACGGGGAATGTAACAGTGTCACATTATTGAGGTGGAGGGTGAGCGGGTGAGTGGCATGAGAGGAGGCGACGCCTCTGCGCTAAGGGCAGGATGAGGGGGATAATGTGTCTCACGGGAAGGTTGCAGGAGTGGAGGTGGAGGGAGTGTCTGTCTGGGAACATCTGCTTCTTCTGAGAAGGAGGGTGTGAGAGAGGTGAGGTCGGGGTGGGGCTCAGTGGGGCTGGAAGTTTGAGGAGAGTGGAGATTGCGTTAAGCAGTGGTCATGGAGAGGGGAGAATAAGCCTCCAGGGAAAGGCGGGAGGGTGGCCGGGCTGGCCGCTGTGTCTGTTGGGGTCAATCCCATGAGTGCCCCTGTGTCCTGATGGTGATGCTTCCCATCACAGACTCACCAGGGCACCACACTCATCCCAGTGACTTGGGTGGGAAGCTGGAGGGGTGAGGAGTTTTGTATACTGGCAGGGATGTTCAATAATGGCCGTGGATATGGAGGGAAATGAAGAAAGAGAACCTGATGAGTTGAAGAAGTAAAAAGAATCAGCACTGGGTGGGGCTGGGAGGGGAGGGAGCAGCGGTGAGGGTTGAGCGAGTGATCTGTGGGGAGAGGCTCCGGCACTGGCCCCGGAGATTCAGACAGTGATTTCAGAAGATGAGGCCGGAGTGTGGCTGTGGGAAGGAAGGTGAGATAAAGGGGACATGGGAGGTGAGGAGACTGCATGGCCACAGTGTCCCTCACATAGACGTTGAACTCACCCAGGGGGCGGGTGGGAGCAGAGGTGGACGGTGCACTGTGAACCACGTGTCAACATCTTACGTGGCCGAGAGGGAGTGACCAGAGGTCACTGTGCAGTGGCAAAGGTGGGGTCCGGTGCATGTTTGAGGCATGGGCTTCAAAAAAGCAGTGTCATAGCTTTTGACTTCTGTCACATGAGGTCATTTACAAGAATAGGTCTAAGATAATTGTCATGTATGTGTCCATGCACCTATTCAATAGGTCACTCTAACGCTATACCCGTGATTCAGAAAACATGTTGGTGAATGTGTGGAATGACAGATATCTACCAGTCTCTATGTTGGGCTTGCAGGCAGGAGGTAGATGAAAAAGTGTGTCTTCTTGTGGTGTTCAGAGTCAGAAGCACTGACAAACGAATTCGAGTAGGAGGGAGATGTCACGCTAGCTCCGCGTTCCGTAGAGAGGGGACAGAGTGACACACTCTGGGGGAAGGAGTAGAGGAGCTGGTGGTGGTGGAGGCTGCAAGCACTCGGCTTGGGGAAACACAAGATTGGCTGCAGTGGCCTGAGGCGTAGTCAGAGGGGTGAGTGTGTTGGTCTTTGAGACTCCCTGTCGCTCCCAGTTGGACTGACTGGACTGCAGGAGCTTCACGAATTCACCAGTTCCTGGAGTCTCCTTGGAAGAGGACCTGCCACAAGCCTCGTCCGGCTCCTTGAGGAGGGAAGAGCATCCAGTGCTCGTGTGACCTCCCCCCGCCCCGTCACCACAGGCACTGGCCGTACCCTCCGATGGAAACAGGTTTCCTACCTGCTGCTCCTCTGCAGTCCTTACGTGGCAGGCACGGACATAGGACCCATCCAGGCCTGTCTTTCCCATACACAGTTACACACAGTGTTGTAAAATCACATTCATCGGCTGTCCCAGGTGGGAACTGGGCCCTATTGGAACCTTCGCTTCTGATGTCCTCAGAAGTGGCTCAATGAAATATTTTTCTGAATGTAGGGGGTGAACAGAGAAAATTACCCTCATTTGTTCTTCCTCTGTTAATTCTCCCTGTGAACTCAGGCCAGGAGGATGTGGGCAGACAGTTCTCTGTGGCTGTTGGCTCAGTCTTCCAAACTACAGCATTTGCCCTTTTATTCAAAATCCCATCTGTCTGGTTTTCGATGGTTCTGTCTGTAGCATTTTCCCCATGCTGGTCTAAATGCAGGGGTGTGTGTGTGTGTGTGTGTGTGTGTGTGTGTGTGTATGGATGCTTAGATGCACCTATTGAGAGGGGAGTGCCTAGGCCAGATCACTCAGAGAAGGTGTTGGATTAAGCCATTTTGATGTTTCAATTACAGAAATCCTAAACTAAGCACAGCTTCTCTGACACCAGTAACAATTTCATTACTGAGCCATGAGATAACAGCAGGTTTACAAGAGAAGGTGGTAAGAAGATTGAGAATTCAAATAATGAGTGGAGTGCACACAGGAAAGAGTACTGTGCATGTCTTCATGAGGAACTTGAATTAAGGCTTCTGTGCCACAAATCAAGTAATGCGTAATTTTTTCTTTGGAAGCACATAGAGGCTTTAATGATAACAATTTGTTCTTAAGAAAACCTAGGATTTTAAAAGAAATAGAACTAAGATTAGAATCTTTATCATGTATTCAGTTCTTTTCATATTATATTAGTAGTAATGAATACAGATTTTATTGGATATAATGCATTTCAAGCAATTTTAGATTGAAGCAGAGTATTAATAGACTGTACAAAGTCCATTTTTTAAACTAATGCAAAATATTTGCAAAAGTATTTGTCTTTACGTTATACATCAGCCATTATCCATTGTAGTAATGATTTTAAAATACTTTCTTTTTGTTCTGTACTTGATTTAATTCACATGTTTAATACAATATTAGAGACATGAAAAAAAACACAATATACATCAGCAAATACAGAATCCATTAAACAGGAACAAATACCGCAGAAGTTCCTTCTGAGCCACGCTCGCCCTCCTGCCGCAGCATTGTTTTGTACACTTGCTGCATACACGTACACACAGAAATGGTACTTACTACTATTGTCTTTTAAATATAGAAGTTGACTCTTGTCTCCTTGCATAGTTCCTGGTGGGTAGTCCTGGGCTTTGGTGTGTCCTCAAGGTTGTTCAGGGACTTAGGTTCCTCCCTAGGGTAGCATGTCTCTGTCTTTGGCGAGACGCGGCTTTAAAAAATCTCCAAAGCATCATGAACCGCCATTTTATAAATTACATAAAGAAAGATGAATTATTAGAAAGATGAATTTAAAAGCAGATACACAAAATCCTACTCTGCAGACATCCGTCTGTGAAGAGTTAAGTGTGAAATCCCAGTCCTTGTACCAACACCTATCTACGCACTTTGAACAGGTACCATTTACGGCAGTGTTTACAGTTAACGTGGTAACTATACTTACTTACTGTTAAATTTCTCTCATCCAGGTTGGATGGACCACAGTGTATTTTTTTATTCCCCGGCTCTCTAGTTATTTAGGAAAATTAGCTCCGTGGCCATCCAGGGGTGAGGGGCTCCTCTCAGGGGTGCAGACAGGACTCAGGGAGGCTGGGACCACCCCCGTATGAAGGTGCTTCTTCCTTGGGAGTTCCATCGGGTGCCCTGGAGCCGGCTGTGGGCAACAGACCCTGCCCCAAGACGACGGGGGAATGGTCAGCACAGTGCGTCAATTAAATCAATTCCGAGACTGCTCCATACACACAGGGCTGAAAATGTACTTTCCGTACAATTCATCATCCAAATTGTGTTCAGTCACAGTATCCCTGAAACCCGCGGGAGAGTCTACAGTGACATTAGGCTGCTAGTAAGACGCAAAAGCACACTCAGATAACAAAATGCCAACCACCTGAGACCCCCACATTGAACCACACACCCTTCCCATTATCAGATTTGCAGCGAAAGCTTAAAGTGAACCTATTGACTTTAGCTTTTCTATTATCATCACAATCTATAAATCAAATGAATTCATTGATGCACATCTGAAAATGAATCTATGTTCCCTTTTACACGGCTACTTTTTCATGACATATAGGTTATCTTTGCCGCATTGCTTTCCATTTTAAAAGATCTAAGAGTTTCTCAGAGTAAGTACTTTTCTGAGAGTCCTTAATTTGGACGAACTCTGCTTTCTCTGAGTGTCTAGGGGAGAAGTTAACAGATGCTGGAAGACCACATCAGCATTTAATTGCAAATAAATTCTGTTCTCTGGCAGCCTGGCTATTGTGCTCACATTTCAAAACTGTTTTAATTCTTAAATTTTTACCATGTTTACTAAATCTGGATGGATTTTGAAGCCACATTCCTAAAAGATATTTGTATGCTTAGAGGCGAGAATTGGAGATCTTCAACGGATTGGAGGGTTGCCTTCCTTCTTAGACCACAGAAGCAGCTCAGGAATATAGTGCTTACCTGGTGGCTAGAAGGGTAAGCCCAGGACAGGAGCTCATATTTAAGTAGGAGAAATGGTGTATGCAGGGAGAGAATGGAAGCTACAGTTCTAAGGATGCGTTGGGGAATATGGAATCCTTGCTGAAAAAGGGCCATTATACAGCTTTCCTCCCTGGTGAAGGGATGAACTCATGAATTTTAGGTGTGGGGACGGAGGGTGGGAGAGGGATGGGGGACATCTGAGTTCATGAAAGTGTCTTTCAAAGAATGTGAAGAACAGCTGGTACATGTCATGTAAAGGGGTCAGAGAACACACAAGCTGTAGAGGGGCATTTCCCGAGGAATGCATGTGCTTTTAGATTTGCCACGACCCTGAAAGCTAGATCTGAGGCTCAGCACGATGCAGCCTGGGCATTTTTGTCAATGGAGGAGTGGATTCCTTTTTCTGCACACAGCAGCATAGCTGACATTTTTTTCCCTTCTTAATAAAGACGTCCGCCCCCTTGACCTTTAGAGCTGATCTTCTAAAAGACCGTACTGTTTCTTGCATAATCATCACCTGTTCTGCTACACAATTACCCTGTTTGGCCCCAAGCTTCTGGATAGGAGACATCCCCTGAAAAGGCCAGGGTCAGACCGGCTGGGCTGCGAGCCGCCGGAGGTGCCTGCTCTGTTCCTGCAGTTTCCAGTGTGAGCTGCGGAGGCGGGACAGCCGCTTTGTGAGTAACCACCATAATTCTATTATTAGGTGAGAGATGAATAATTGACATGTTAAAGCCTAACCGGGAGGGTATAGAGGGTAAGTTTAAATGTCAGTGTTCATCAGTCGTTTTTTGTATTAAAAGTTTTCTTATTCCCAGTGTTCACAAGTTGTCACTCTTGAGTGTTCATGAGATCAACTAACTCATCAGTAGGTAAACACACAGGGCCTTTGTGGCACCTCAAGCATTTCATAACATGAGGCTTCTTGAGATTGCAAATGTGATAGAAAAAAGTCTGTACACAGTATAAATGAGCAACGGTTTCAGACAGCTACGAGACAAAGGTTTCCAGCATGTCCCCATTCCATCTAATGTGATGTGCGAAAGAACTGGAAAAGCAGCTCAGCAAACTGGGAGGCTCAGGGCACGAGGTGGGGCAGAGGAGCGAACAGAGGCCAGGCCAGGCAGGCCCAAGTACTAACTCATCACAGTCGCAGGTGTGGTTGACTGGGCACTAAGTCTGGGAGGTGCCAGCCGATTTGGTCACCATAGTCATCTCAGGGGCCTGCATGGCCACGGTCCCGTTTAATAGCTGGGGAACTGAGTTGCAGCGAGGCCAGCCTACACGTGGTGGAGCTGGGAGAGCACCGGGACACGCAGCCCCAGCTCCTGCTGCCCTTGCATTCATGTGCCAGCTTCTGACAAGGGCTGCTGTTGTGGGATTTCACTCTTAAAAGCGCAGGGAAGCCACGTCGATGGTGTAGAGGGAGAGGACGCCCTCGCTTGGCGATAAACACAAGCCCCTCTCTGGGAGGAGGGTGCTGTGGCGTTGCCTGGGCTTGTCACAGTTTTGTCGTTGTGGACCAGCCTCCCCCATCCTGCACCCCTCCTTCCTTCCATGTGGAGCCCCCTTTCCTCTAGGATGCAGTCTGAAGGCCAGCTTGTGCACAAGGCCTCCCGTCCAGTGTCCCCTCGGCTGAGTGTGACCTTCCTGCTGGCCCTTAGCTGGCCTCTGGCACTGTAGTCACTTCTGTCAGTGCCTGTCCTGTGCCGGCACGTTGCAAGGGCCTGTGCCGGTTGCCTGGTGGCCCTGAGGCTGAGTCCTGTGCAGAGTATTACCCTTCTACTGAGTGACATGTTTAGGGCCAGCCTCTGGTCAGAGGAAAGGCCCCTCAAAGATGCAAGCGGGCAGCTCCTAGTGCCTTCATCATTGGCCACCATGAAAGAGGGCGGTGTCCCCAGCCCCTCCGCAGCTCTCCAGGTGGACGGCCTTGGTGGTGGTGACTTCAGATAAGAGGTAGGGAGCAGGAGAGCAGGCGAAGGTGGGGCGGGAGTTGGGGAGAGAGAGAGAGAGAGAGAGATCAAGAAAAAAAAGAACAATCTAGAGTGTGGACTGAAGCTGTGTTTAATACAAAGGGAAGGGAACACTGGAGGAGGCAGCAGGCCTGGGACAGCTGAGGAAGGCAGAGGTGAATCTGCCGTGAGTCACCTGGCAGAGCCCTGGAAACCTTTGGCCGCCAGCTCCCTGCCCACCGCCAGGTATGCCCACCTCACTGCCCCTCCCCCAGTGGCCCTCAGGCCTATCTTCTGCAGCTCCTGTCCATGAAAATGACTCGCTGATGGAACGAGCCACGGGCTCCAGACAGCCATTCCGCCGAGGAGGAAGAAGAGGGGGAAGGCATAGCTCTGGGACCAAGTGCGGGGGTTGGGGGCTGCTCTTGCCAAACAGAATGAGGAACAAGGAGCAGCACAAGAGGTGCAGAGCAGTGGCCTCAGTCAGCGGGCACTCCACTGCCAGGGCCGTGCCATCCATCATGTGGGGTAGGTCTCTTTGCTGTGGGTACCCAAGAACTCTGCCAGGCAGGGCTGAGGGTACCCCGAAAACCTCAGCCAGCCTGCTCTCCCCACCTAAACTCTGCTCTGGTTCTTCCTGGAGCTGACACGTTTAGTTCAGTGCATCCCAGACATCACCACATGGAAGTGAGAGGCTCAGCTGGTCCAGCAGGGAGGGCCACCCTCCTGCCACCGTCCTGTGAACCAAAAGTATCTGAGATAGGTCTCCATCAATTTAGAAAGCTTATTTTGCCAAGGTTACTATCAATGAAAAGAATCACACTCTGCAAAATATTGGAAGAAATTCATTCTGAGCCAAATATGGGTGACCCATGACCTATGACACAGCCCTTAGATGCTGAGAACATGTGCCCAAGGTGGTTGGGCTACAGCTTAGTTTTATACATTTTAGGGAGACATGAGACTTCAGTCAAAGACATATAAGACGTACATTGGTTTGGTCTGGAAAGATGGGACAACTTGAAGCAGGGTGTGGGATCGTTCCAGGTCATAGGTAGATTTTAAAATTTTCTGAAAGACAATTGATTGAAAGAGTTAGGTTACTATCTAAAGACCTGGAGTCGATAGAAAGGAATGTTTGGGTTAGGATGATAAGGGGTGGTGGAGACCAAAGATTTATCAAACACATGAAGCCTCCAGGTAGCAGCCTTCAGAGAGAACAGATTGCAAATGTTTCTTATCAGACTTAAGGTCTGTTGATGTGAACGCTGGTCAGCTTTTTTTGAATTCCAAAAAGGAGGAGGGTATAATGAGGCTTGTCTTACCTCCCTTCCATCCTGGCCTGAATATCTTCTTCGGGTTAACTTTGGAATGCCCTAGGCCAAGAGGAGACATCCATTTGGATGGTTGGGGGGCTTACAATTTTATTTTTGGTTTATAGGCAGCCCTGACAACATGTGCACAAGGCGGTTAGGGTAAAGCTTGGTTTTACACATTTTAGGGAGATATGAGATATCAGTCAAATACACGTAAGATGTACACTGGTTTTGTCCTGAAAGGTGGGACAACTTGAAGTGGGGAGCAGGCTTCCAGGTCATAGGTAGATAAGAGATAAACAGTTGCATTATTTTTTGATCTATGATCAGCCTTTCACTGAATACACAATTTATATGTGAGAGGGGATAGAGGAGTAGTCAGTTCTTAGTCTGGCTCAGTGAATCTGCGTTTTTACATAAACAGTAGGGCAGAGGAAGCCATCAGATACGCATTTCCTCAGACGAGCAGACAGATGACCTTGAGTTCTGTTCTTTGTTCGCCATCTATGAAGATAAGCTATCAATTTACATCACCAAAGTGAAATTCAGCAGAATTGTTTTAGAGGAAAGATCTTGAGGGGTTTCCTTGTGAGCATATTGTGAGGGAGGTATGTAGCTTTTTTTTTTTCTTCCCCCATCTTTGTAGCTATGTTATTTAGGAATAGAATGGGAGGGAGGTTGTCCTAACCCCAGCTTGACTTTTCCCTTGGGCTTAGTGATTTCGGGGTCCCAAGATTTATTTTCTTTTCACAGTCCCTTGGTCCCTCCTGCCTGGAAGCTCCTCCACCTGTGGCCTGAGTTGGATCTGCTTCTCCTCCCAGCAGTCCACTTCCTTCCTCCCACCTTTCTTCCTCCCATGAGTCTTCCTCCCCAGTCTTCCCTCCCTCCTGCTCCTCCAGGGGACAGCTCACCCAAGGCCTGGCTGGTGTCTTGGCAAGCAAGGCAGGGCCAGTGCCTTGTTGGTGGGTCTGAGGGCCCTGGTGCGTGGGACGTGCTGGTTGTCAAACCATTCCTCGAATCCACCCTGAGCACCTGGTTCTAGGAGTGGTTTGCCATTCTAGCATGTCAAATGGTTGCCAAATGCTTTGTCCCACTGGTGACCAAGGTCCCAAGGGATAGAGAGCCCCTCGGATTGTCCTAGAGGAATGTGCCCTCTCTGCCTTCCTGCTTTCTTCTGTCTTTCCCTCTGCACCCCTCCCGCTGGGATGTGCCTGCACTCTGCAGTTGGCCGACTCCTCTGCAACCTTGGCTTTGGTTCCTCCCCAGGACCTGACCACCTGGCCGTGGGCCCTCCCCGTAGAGTCACCCTGCAGGGGAACAAGGCTGCTTCAGCCCAGCCGGGCCCATCTTGCCTGGGTGCCACCTCCCAGCCTGGATCAGCACAGGAGCTCCCACCTGCCTCCCAGGAGAGTGGGCGTCCACCCTGAGCACCTGGTTCTCGGAATTTCCCTTCCCTTCATTTCTGAGGCAGTGCCGGCCGGCTTGGCCATCTCATGCTGTGTCACATTCCGCAGCTGGTCTGGGCCCAAGTGCTGCTGAGGACTCAGGGATCCTTGAGACAGTGCTGGGCAGGTCTGGCTTGCTGCCCTCCCCTGGAGAACGTGGCGACCCAGCAGCAGCTGGTTGAGAGTGTCCCTGCTGGTGAGGACAGAACCTGGAATTCTGTTACCACGCTCCCTGTCCTGGCCGGCCGATGCCCTCCAGCTGTGGGCCGGCCATGCTCCTGATGGGCCTGATATGGACACAGAGCAGCACGTCCCATGCACCAGGACCCTCAGATCCATCAACAAGGCACTGGCCCTGTCTTGCTTTCTTCTGTTGGTGTGGCTGAAAACACCAGGCTCTAACTCCACCACAGAACAAGAGCCTGGGAGTCTCCAACATCCTTCCTGGCAGGGGACATGCAGAGGACGTAGTATTCAGCTCTGGCCAAGCAGCCATCGGTCCAGGCGCCTGCTGGTGCTAGCCTGGGTAGATGGCCTGGAACTCAGGGGCAGATCCCACCTGCACAGGCAAACTTGGGGGACCATGAGGGATGAACCCCACAGACCCAGAATGCTCAGCCTTCTTTAGACTTGCAGCAGAGGCTTCAATGTGTACCTCCGCCTCCCCCCACGGATTGTAAAACTCACAGCCACAGGGACCAGGGCTTGCCCACCACCCTAAACGGAACTTACCAATGACTCACTGAGAAGATGAAGGCAGTGGTTTGTAGCAGCCATTGCATCTGACCGTGGGCCCCAGCAGGGATGTGAGGGACCTGTGTCACTGGCAAACACACTGCCAAGAAGCCAGGTGTGTGACCAGCCTGTGATGTATCAGTCTCCTTCCTGGGGAATCTTGTCACCTGCAGCACAGCCAGACCCTCCCTCACGGGTAGAAGGGTCTAGGGACTCCTCCAGCACACACAACTGCTTTCCACTGAAGGACCAAAATACTTTTAGCCTCCGAGGCATAGGGCAGCCCATGGATGAAACTCTCATCTGTTTTGGTCAGGGTTGCCCCCAGGCAGGGGGACATCAGCAGCAGATGCTCCTGGTTGGTCAGTGTCTTGAGGAGTACACACCACCCAGGTACGCCGCTGGGGTGCCCTCTAGTACAACAGGACAGAGACAGGCTGTGCCTACTGTCTCTGAGGAGTGGGAGAGGACAGGCATATGGCAATTTTGATAGGCTTCTCACTTGGCCCTTCAAGTTGGCCATGTTGATCAAGTTCATGATCAAGTTCATGGTCTTCCCCTCTCAGGGGCTCCCCTGGTTGATCTTTTTCTGCCCTAACTAGCTCCTGGAGTCTGTTCCCTCCCCGTCTCCCGTAGCCGACCTCCACGTGTGTGGGCGGAGTGCAGGCTCCAAGCCTGTGATTACAGCAGCTGCCTTGCTGGGAATGGCACAGGCAGAGGAGCAGTCATGCCCACTGCATCAGTCAGTGTTGCCACAGCAATGCCCAGAACAGCACCCTGAACCCCACGGCTGCAGACAGTGGTGTGTGTTTGGTTTATGTGTCTGCAGGTCGGGGCTCTCACGGGCCTGGGCTGGGCTCCCTCCTGTGGCTGGCACTCTTCTGGCTGTGGCTGGGGGCAGAGTGCACCTGGGCCACAAGTCTCCCTCATCCAGCAGGCGAGCCCAACACCTTCTCACCGTGACGGCAGGGTGGGGAGCTAGCAAAGCCACACTGTGTGAGCTTTCCAAGGGCGCGTTGTCACCCCTTTGCTAATACCCTGCAGGCTGCAGCCCATGTAGCTGAGCCCAGAGCCAGGGTGGGGGGTACATGGCAACCTGTGCAGACATTGAAAAACATAGCCTCCTCTTCTCCCACTGAAAGGGGCTTAGAGCTCTTCCTGTCTCCCCACGCATGCTGCGCTGTTTCATGCTGCTTCTCTCAAGGAACTTCTCAGCTCAGCTCCCGCTCTGTCAGTGGAACTCTCATTTCATCTGAACACCCTGCCTTCCACAGCATTGCATGCCCACTGCCAGCCCATTCCTCTCATCCCTCACCATTGGGCCGACGATCCTCTCCCACTTGCTGCTCAGTTTCCCTCCTGGTCTGTCCCAGCTCTGGGGCCCATGGGCAGCCCCCTCACCCTTGTGCCTTGCCCCCATACCTGGGACACTGCTTGGGGACGATGCCCAGGATTCTGCTTACTCTGAGAATGGGGACAAGAAATCTACACACAAGCCTAAGTCCCCCTTACCCTAAAAAGTTACTTTTTCCTTGACCTTGTGAATGCTTCCAAGATCTTACTCATCTCTAATTTGCCTTTTGCGAGAAAATGTTTTGAAAGAGTAACCTACACCCATCGCTTTTATTCCTTCCCACCCACTTGCTCCTTGTCCCTTACGGTCTTTTTTTAATCCACTTTTTCTTCTGCTCCAGAAGACCAGGCCGTCAGCAGTCTGCGAGGCTAGGAGGGCCGCGTGTGTCCGTTTATTTTGTCCTCTAAAAACCTTGACGGCTGGGCGCTGCATACAGTCATGGCCGTTTGACCCACGAGAACATCAGAGCTCAGCCTGGTCACGTTGTTCGTGAGGTTATTGGGAGCAGGTAATGGACTGTGGGCCTTTGTGACTGCAGAGCCTGTTTTAAGCTATTGTGCTGTACTGACCCCGTGTGCAAGCCCGGAGTGTGCTAGAGTCAGAGCCTCCAAACTCCGGTCACGCAAAGGGGCTGTGTTTGCTTGCTAGGGCTGCTGTGCCACAGCTGAGGGGCTTTGACAACAGAAATCGTTTGCCTCGCTGTCCTGGAGGCTGGAGGCCATCGGGTCAGCAGGGCCATGCTTCCTCTGCAGGTGCCAGGGAAGGTCAGGCCCCAGCCATTCTCCCAGCTCTTGGTAGCATAACTCCAGTCTCCACGTTGCATTCTCCCTGTGTGCGTGTCTGTGTCCAGAGTCTCCCTTTCCATTAGGACACAAGTCATATTGGAT